ACCTACAAGCTAGACCTCCCCCCATGCTATTCTAAGCTTCACCCAGTCTTTCCCTCGGATGCACCTCGGATGCGCTCGGACGGTCCAAAGGAGGCCGAAGCGGGGGTTCCCCTCACCATTAGATAAAAAACTTGAAGTTTTTTTTCTGACATTTTTCACGCAAAAGTTGGCAAAAAAAGTTCAAATTTTGCCTTGGGAAAAATTTATTCAAAAATTTCAAATTTTTTACCTAACTTTTCACAGGGAAAAATTCTGGAAATGGCCCAGTGACTGGTCGTCTGTAACTGCCGATGTAGAGCGCAGAAGGCCTGAGCGGCGTCACAGGCTCTGTCCCAAGGTGATTGTTGGGAGGGTCTTGACAGATCGGTGATTGTGCAGGCAAGCGGGGGTTCCCCTGACAAAGGACCCTTCAATATGATGTTAGAAGACAGGAAGCACACATAATGAATGGAAGGAGTCCCCAAGTCAGATATTAATAATTATGGCAGGCACTTGAGGAGGAGGAGGAGTGGTATATGCATGGTATGGTGCAGCTCAATCCTGACAGCGAGAAATATTAGAAATAGACAATTCAGAGGTGTATAAACCAAGTGTAGAGACTAACAAATAAACTGATGAGAATTTCCTTTTTTTGGGACACTAAGCCCTCTAAGGCCTTATAAGCTCTAAGCCCTAGGCCTTAGGCTAAGCTAAGTGTTTTGAGGGTTGTCAGTAAGGGCTTAGAGCCATCCAAGCACCATCACTGTGATATCATCTTGGTCATTGATAGGGCTCCAACTATTTAGTTTTTATTTACAGCTCCAGGTAAACTAACTAGAAATGGTGAGAAAACATTTAGTAAACATTTATTACCATTTAAAAACGGTTAAAAATGGTATAATAATATAAAATGATCAACAATTTCATAACACACACTTGAGTTTATAAGGTTCATTCAACTGAAAGATGTTATTTTATCACTTGTAACACTAGATGTGTCAGACTGCGGGTCGGGCCGTGCAAGGTCCTCTCCTAAGAACGCGCGCCCGGAACAGAACAGACGAATAGTCGGGCCCGCAAGTACGGCGAGCGGGGTAGATCGAAACCAAAAGGGCCTGTGGACTCAGTCCCTTGTCGTTTGCGGTGGTCAAAGGTTCGAATCGGGTCATGTCGGGCCCGATAAGTCGATGGCACCTCCTTGCACGGAGTAAGGTAGTTCTCCAGACGATCTCAGCGATAGAGTACATGGTACGCTATCGCGCATTATATACACAGGCCTGCAAAGGGGTAATCGGACACCCTGGCCTCCCCTGCTCCTCCTCTCTGCCGTTCCTGGCCGCAGAGGGGACGACCGGACATCCCTTGCAGGCCAGGTGCTACTCCTACAGGCCCGCGGTGGCCTGACACCAGCGCCCGGAGAGGACGGGCTTATCCGTGACAAGATGAGCATCAAGATTTGACTTATTTGATGCCAGATCAGGTGATGGATTCCTTCAAGAGGAAGCTTACAAATGCAACAACTATCCATATTCATGTGCAGTCAATGACTAATCGACTGCACAGGCCCAACTGGATGAAGCAGCCCGGGGCCCGTCCGACATTTGCACCATTTACGCAACTCCTCAACCCCGACTGCTAAAGCCAGATCACTGATAAAAAAATACCCATAAATTCAAGTAAGGTCTCAGTCTCAAGCGCAGTAGGGTGCAGGATTGAATTATGGGGGGTTATTAAAACCGGTTTGAACTCCCAGCCGATTTAGAAACCGGTTTGCAAACAGGGATTGATTAAAATTGCCTAAAATGGCAATTTTTGACCTTTTGAATGATTTTTTGGGCTAGCATATGTATTTACTTGTTCTTTTACACTATTTCTCAAGCTTTCAGGGTACCCCCTGCTATCCTAAGTTATATTCTGTGTTGTCTGTATATGGTGTGACCCTATCACTGATGTGATGGTAACACTTAGAGCCTTTAAAAGACCTCCAGTAACATTAAATGAAGAGTAACAATAGTTGATTAGGATGTTACCTTTATAGCTGTAAGTATAGCTGCTACAGCAGGAGCCAAGGTCTGTCTAAAACCAGTGAATTGTCTAATTTTCCCACGGGTCATGTGTTTTGAAACAGCACTTTTTCTGGAAATAATTAAAAACAGCGGTTTGAAACAGCTGTTTCGAAACGCGGTTTGAAACACCACTTAAATCCTGCACCCTAACTTAGCGCAGGTACAGGTGCAGGTGCCAGGCGCTAATAGAGGCCCTTGTTTGTTATGGAATCAGTAAAACAGTCCGTCAGTTCTTTTTTTTTTGTCTTTGCACTGGCATCTACTGGCATTAGCTTTGCATTAAGCACGCGGTCCCGCGCAGCTATATGTAGGGTGCTGTGGGCTGACAGTGTTTTAAAACCCGTTTCGAAACACATGAAATCCCTGGGGGCCCGGTTTCGAAACCGGCACGTGGTTCTCCGGGAGGCCCGGCCTCTGCTAACAGGACGGTCCGGTCCGATGAGACCGGCGGTTTCGAAACTGTGGGGGTGATTACCCAGGAATTACTCCACATGGACCCTAGCTATACTAGCTATATGTACTTGGTGTCTAGGAACGGGGGAGTCGTCGTCGCTTCATCCTTTCTTTTCTGCTACTGGTACTGGTACTAGTACAAGTCTCCCGGCCTTTTCCTTCGCTCTTGCCGCCAGGCCGACTTTTCTTCCCTTCACTTGTGTTTGCGCTGGATCGCAACTTTCTCCTCTGACTCATCCGCCCCCACCGCAACGTACCGACCAAACGATGCGCTTCCCGACAAGCTTCCTGGTCCCGCTCCTCCTGACACTGCCCGCGTTTGGTAGTCCCGAGCCGCCTATCGCCGCGGATGACGCCGATCTAATGGTGCGCCGAGCTGCTTCTTCTCCTGTATCTTGTCGTCGCATTGAAGCGGCTTACTTTATAGGCGCTCAGGCTTGAGGCCCGTGCTGCGCGCAGGGCAGCGAAGCCCAAGGCGCCGGGGCCGCCGACGCCGAAGCCCGCCGCCGCAAAGCCCGCCGACGCAAAACCCGTACGTCGCTCGCCACTGGGCATCTGCACTTTCACCAAACTGTTACTGACTTCGCTGCAGCCCGCAAAAAAACCCGCAACAGCTTCGGAGAAGCCGGTGCGTAATTCCCCCGTTTGTCAGCCACATGCATGCCGCTCATTGCCTCGGCACGTAGGCGACGAAAGCTCCGGCCGACTCGGAGGTACCGGCCAAAGCGCCCGCAAAGGCACCCACTAAAGCCCCAGCAACGGTTCCAGCAAAAGTCCCCGCGAAGTCACCGGCTACCGCGCCAGCACAGGCACCTGCCAAGGCACCCGTGAAAGCGCCAGCCTCAAAAGCTCCGACGAAAGCCACCCCCAAGAAGCCGTGCTCCCAGACACAGATCGACAAGGAGTTGCAAGCACGATATGCTGAATTCGCGCCAAACCGCCACGAGGCGCGGGCGGGCGTATCGCACCCTAGCGCAAGGGGCCAGATCACGCTCTTCCACGCCACCGATCCAAGCCTCACCGACTCTCTGGTGCTCGGCGTGAACATCGAGACGACCTCCCTATCGGGTGACTTCAACCACTTTCCCGAGGTGCCCGGCGGCTTCTATCTCACCGACAGTCTCATTGCTGCAGCACAATTCGCGTGTTTTGCCAGCATTCCACTGGTTTCACGACCCCAGTCGACGACTGTCGATGTCTTCGGTATGTTGTTTCAATCCCTCTACGCTGAGAGTCGGATGAACCATCCGTTGCAGAGTACACCTGGAACGGAGTTGGTGCCGCCGTATTCGAGTTTCCGGGGGCGACAGAAGACTGGTCAAATGTGCGTGTGTTCACCGCATAGCAATTCACCCACATGTTGTTGCAGTTTCAAGAGTATAACCTCCATGGGGATTTCGACGATGAGGATAGAGAAAGTCCTTTCCATGCCCGAGCCATGGAGATATACCAGAACGCGATGATTTCCGGGCCGATGAACGGTGCTGCCGGTGCGTCTTCTCTTCAAGTTTGCTAGACAACCTGTATTTACCTGCTGCCCATACGCATCCGCAGATGCACTGCTGACCGATGGGTTCCAGCAATACGCTCTCGTTAATCAAGAAGCGGTGGATTCGCGCCTCAGCCTGGTCGCGGTGCACCAGAACATCGTCTGCAATAACGTGCCCAGGGCCAAGGCGCTCACATCGAAGCTATACACCAGGGGCCAGGCTGGGAACCCCAAGTTCCAGAAGCTCCTTAAGGAGCTCCAGACACCGAACCTTGTGTCGACGTCCCAGGATTGTGCCTTTGAGTAAGTGGCGGACTTGGAGATGAGTTGTAGCACTTACTGCTGGCCTGAGCATGTACTTATATACATAGTAAACTTTAAAGACCACTTTCGATGACACTGCCTTGCACGCATTCGCGCCCCGGTTCTGACTGCGTCAGGCCTGTCTTGGCTTCAGCAACTATGATGGAAGAGGATATGGCGCACGTACTTAGGACGTACGCGAGCAGGTTTAGGGCCGAGGACCCCGTCCGAGTGGACAGAGAGTTCGCTGACGGTGCCACCCACGCGTAGAAGTAGCGTGCTCACGATCACTTGACCCAGGCCGCCTACTGGCAGCGGGGCCAACGCACCGACGCCGCCGCCGCCGAGACCGCATAGAAAAACGGCAAGCGAGCTCGTGAACGTCCTGAGCGTCTGCCAACAGGTAATTTCCAGCAGTAGAAAGCACCGCATCGCCGTTGGCTGCCACGGCGCACACAATATCTCGCACAAGCGGTCGCGTCTGAATTGTGGACCGCGGCCGTCCATGCCCGGCCGAGGCCCGAGTCCGACGAGTAGCGAGGAGAGAGGGCGTTTGTGAGCGTTGTGAAGTGTCTTCATGACAGCACAGCAGTGCTGCACCGCGCATATTCGACCGAAATGCTCGTTGTCGTGGGAGAGGGCTGCCACGTCAGCGAAGGTGTGCCTGTGCCGTGTTGGGGAACTTACGTTTTTTCTTCTTCTTAACCACCTCAGCGGACCAAACATCGTGCGACGGCCTCCACTTCCTCCAAAGCATCCCGTCTCGGCGCATGCACGGTGCTGTCGCCATGCACAGCTGCATGGGCCCGGGCCGGGAACCCGTGAAGATATAGGGTGCAGGTTTTAGAGGCTGTGAACTCCGCGCGGAAGGAGCGGGCGGTTGGGTGGGCGGGGCCTGGCCGGTATTTTCCAAGGCCAGTGACCTTCTCGGCCGTCTGCAGCCCCGGCATCGTGCGCTTGAGTGCCAGTGGACGCGATGTGTGTCCACATCCAGCGAGTTGTAGGCGAAACGCGCCAGCATTCCCCTTCCCATCCGTGGTCGTCACCTTCCCGTTCACCATGCGCATCGCCGCCTGTGCCGCCATCCTCTACGTCTCCAGCGGTTGTTTCATTACCCGCTCGTGTAGCTGGTCCCGGTCTACCGTCTTGCGTCTGCTGCAACTGCGGAAAACGGGTCAGTACCCGACCCGCCTAGGCCTGACTCGAGGCAGAACACGCACTTGGAGTGTTGCGTGCAACCGCAACGTCGAAGTGGGCTGCCAGACCGTCGATATGGCTGGCCGGAAGCTGGTCTCGGCGCCGGCGCGCAATCACCTGCTGAGTGAGGTCGAACAGGTACAAAAAAGGACAGCGCGACGTACCGCTGAGTACAGGCGGCATGGACTTGGGCGCGACGCGGATTGGCGAGCGACGCGGACTGGCGGGAGACGCGGACTAGCAGGCGGCGCACTGACGGGAAGGAGCAGGCGATGGTGGTAACAGTCAGGGAGAAGACATCGTGGGAGAACAATTGGACACTCGGATGCGCAGCCCGTAACACGTGTTGAGAAGACATCGTGGGAGAATAACCGGGCACTCGGGCGTACAGTCCGAAACACGTGCCGCTTATCAACCACCTCTCACCCCAAGGATTCCAAAGAAAAGTGGAGCATTTTTAAAATTTTTAATAAAGGTAATAATAGGCCAAAAAAGGCCATCTTTATTGAGTGAAAAAATAGTTAAAAAAGGTCAAGTGGATAGAAAATAAATTTATGGGGAAAAACAGCCTCTCAGATTATGGCAAAAAAAGCTAGCCTGTAAGGTGAAAAATGGAACTTTTTTAGTTACAAGGAGCCTTTTTTGTATTATAATATTGATTGCTTTTTTTTTTCTGACAAGATTACTATTCTATTCATTGGGTCTTTTTGAATATTGTTCCCTAAGAAATAAAGGTGTGCCTTTTTTTGGCCAATTATTACCCTCATTAAAAATTTTGAAAATCCTCCAGTTTTCTTCTAAATCCTCGCGGTGTCTTCTTCTCCGCTTTTCACCGCCCCGACCCAGTGATCGTGGACGGGGCCCTCCGTCGGAGGGGATATGCTGGGTTGGCTCAGAACCTTTTGAAATAATCACAGCGCTGAGTGACATCTTATATTATCTGAGTTCATATTCTACTCCAATGCAGCAACACTCTCGATACGACCTAGGCCCCCAAAGTTGTCCTCGCTTAGACAAAGTCACCCTTCTTCAATATAAGCAACATGCCTATTAGTCCTGACAGAAAGCTAATCTTTTAGTCAAACTGAAAGGTGGACAGAAAGATACCCTTTCCTTTCCCCTTTGGGCAATCACAAAGATGTTCTTTGTGAAAGTTTAAAAGAGGCACAGAAAGACAATCTTTTTAAAGGTTTTTGTGTGTCATTGAAAGTTGTTCTTTGTACATAAAAAAGCATATCAAGAGCCCTCATTTCAATTGGCCTTTTTGCAAAAACACAAAGATCACAATTTGTTATAGACAGAAAGTTGGACAAAGTGGCAGTCTTTTAATTGCTCTTTCATTGTAATAAAAAGAGAGTCTTTCTCCGGTACTTAAAGATGGATGAAAAGAAATCATTTTGGTGTCTGGTTTTATTCAGATAAAATATCTTATTTCTTTTAGAAGGAAATATATATTAAAAGGTGATATTTGTGTAGGGCTGGGGATCAATCAATTTCGGCCCGGTATCATACTGTATCATACTGTATGGATATGTAACCATGTCCTGTATTGTATTGTACTAGTATCAGTATAAATTAATGTATTGATTGTAGCAAATTGTATTGATGGTATAGATCATGTATTGATGGCTTTTTTGATGCCGAAGCAGGACAAGGTAACTACCAGGTACAAGTTTTAGCGTCTAACTTTACTGGCACCCACTCCGTTGCTGCCTGCTCCTTCTATTGTGCAATCTTCTCACCCACAGCCATAACTGGATTTCCATTGTACCGGGCAAGCAGATTTGGGGTGTCAAGGTTAATGATCTCCTCGATATATAGGTGTGTGACGCTGGCCTGGGCTAACTGAACAGTTGTTCACTTCTCACGAGGTGGATGAACATAGCCCTCATTGTCCTCCTCATCACTTGCATCATCATCGGATAGTCCCTCCACATCATATGGATCAGTATTGTTAAAGAGGCTCTCCTCATGAACACATTCGAGAACATCAGTTGGGTTGAGTAAGTCCTCCAGACGAGGAGCAGGAGCATAGCGCGGCTCAGCAGAGCTAGGGAGGGCAGATACTGGGGGTAAAATGAGGCGCTGTCGCGCGCGCGCTACGCGACGGGTGCTGGAAACATCCTGGAACAACGAATACGACAGCGTTGGGCTGCCCGGGCGTCGGGCGACACGTGACCGACCGGGCCGACGGCAGGCCGACCCGGAAACACCTATCCAGCCAATGGCGGTCGCGTTTCGGCTCGAACGCGTCGCGGATGGTTGGAACGCGAGCTCAAACGCGGGGAGGTGGATAAAACGTGAGGTGAAACGTCACGTGCGAGGTGCGACGCGTCGCAAGTGGGCGAAACATTGAGGTGAAACAGCACGTGACCGTGGCCGGGGCGGCCGGGGCCATCAATATTAGCTAAGCGAGGAGTATATATTCAGCTCGATTTTGTAGTAGATACCTCAGAATCCAACGCGCCCCCCCATAGCGGTTGTATTGCTCCCCATAAAGGAAAGGTTTTGATCAACGCCGCCGACGACTACGAAGACTGTGAACACGTGAACTGTACCCGAGAACGCTACGAGAACGCTGCCCGAGAACGCCGAACGTCGGGACTATCGTCATATTGAGTGATATACCGAAACTATCGTCAAAATTTGCTGAACATTGTTGAACATAACCCCCACACCCACACCAACTGTTGATTGAAGACTATCTGGATTGCAACAACCATATACTTTGGTTGGAACCCCGTATTTGCGCGCTACGAACTAGGAACTATTGTCGAATTGGGAGTAACCCTGATCTAGGGTTAGGGTTGACATCAAGTGTCTACCACAAGTGTGTCTAGTGACTGAGTGTGTGTTTTGTTTTGTGTTTGTGTTTGTGTGTGTCCGTGTTTGTGTTTGTTTGTCCCCTGTCCCCGCATTGCTCCCATCCTCCACCCACTGTTCCTACCGTTCCTCCGCGTTTCAGCGCGCTGTATGTTTACTAGCTAAGCTTGCTGAGGTGTTTCGTGGCCACTGGCAAAGTTGTACCAGTGTCCATCTTGAATCCTCGGCGCGTCGAGGCGGCAGTGCTACTTCTTGTGATGAGCAGCTGTCGTCACCCATGACACATGAGAATTTTCCTCTTCTTTTCTTACGGCCATCGGCTGCCCACCAGAACTATCTCCTGGCGCTGCCCAAACTTGAAGCTCGGCGACGGAAACAGCCTATAGCGAAAGCTACAGACTCGGAAGCACCAGCACCTCGCGTTGCTGACAGTTGGAAGTTGGAAGTTGGAACCTGCTGTGATGGCGATGGGAAGTTCGCCGCCGTTTGGATGAATGGTGAATGAACCAAGGGGGTGTTTAGTGCATTATACCAAGTTGAGCTGACTCCACACTCAGGCAGCATTCTTAACAAACTCGGACATGGTGGGACTGCAGTCAGCTAGTGCTTACTAGGCTCCGGAGTCCGAGCTGATAGTTGCATGACAACAGTACACGGTAGCACTCCCAAAAGCTGACGAGGATACTGGTAGTTAAGGAGTAGGCCAAACGATATCCCGCATGGATGGACGATGCTACACTGATGATCAGATTTGCGGGCTGATGGATGTCTCCCATACGCGTGTGGGCAGCGATGGACGGACAGCACATATCAACTGCTAGTTGTACTACTACCAGGCTTCATCGTTGTGCCTATCACCCTTCCCACTGCCACGTATACCCACCCCCGATGTCCGATTTCTCGGTATCGGTTTCGTCCGAGCCGTTGTCTTCTTCTGCATCCCATGGCATTGGCATGCAGCCGACACACTTGAGTGAGTGTTGTGGCCTGTAAACATCCTCTTACACTGCTGTCATTCATCAGGGCCCCCGCCGACGACGACCCCCCAGCCGACCTCCGCCCTGGCGCTGCTGATCCAGAAGCCCCACCGGATGGTACTCCCCAGTCTCCTGAAAGCACCGCGCCGCCTAGCTCGGTGACATCCAGCGCACCGTCTACCTCCGGTCCAGGCGCGCCCGTCCGACAGTACGTTCTCAACCTTCGTTCTACTAGCACACCAATCATTTATTGGGTTCAGCCTCTGTGGGCTCGCTTGAGCCTGCTAGCACCAGTAGTCCCAGCTCATCCTCAACACTGCCGTCGAATGGCCCCACTGTCACGGCCATGACCACAGCGATGATGACCGAATGCATCGCCACACCCACATGCCTCAATCTGGCGCTGATGGTGGGAGTAATGGTCAGTGTACTCTTGCTTCTCGCCGGAGTTGGCGCGGTTCTCTGGCTGTGTCATTCCCGGCGTCGACGACAGAAGCGAGAACAGGCGACGGTGAGCACGCCATATCCTCCCAGTGCGGCGTCCGACATGCCTCTGAGTCGAACAAAACCGGCCGGGCTTGGTGTGCAAGATACTTACTCCATATTGTGGAATACTCAGCGCATCGTCCTCAACCTAGGAGCTTCTTGGCCAAGGCTCTTCCAGCACAGTGACGTCTTTCAATGAGAAGCCAAGTGCAATCGATGGCACTCCCGCCCGCTCCCACCGGTACCGGTCACATTCATTCGTCGGGGGTGTGGCCGCATGGCACATTGGCATCGGATGCATACTAGGCACAAGATAGCAGTGTAGGAACATTTACTATGGTACCATCATGCTGCTCGTTCGAGACCCCGCCACCATATAGCCGATGAAGTTTGAACTGAAACATGCAATCACTAGGCTTGCACTAGGCTGATTTAGAAATTGCCCTCTTGGGAATTGCTTGGGAAAGCTATAGGATCAAGATAAGAGTAAATCCCAGAGTTATCTATTTTTGTATGATACAACTTCTATTTAAATGGTAGCTTTTGACACAAAGTAGTGAGGGATAATGAAATCAGTGGGTATGGGACTCCTCCCAAAGTACTGTCCTATTTAGGTCAACTGTCTGTGTTACGCATTACATTGACCAAAAAAGTCCTTGTGAAAAAGCACCATAAATCAAAAGAAAGATTTTTGGTCCCAAATTTCGAAAAAGTGCTGGACACTTGATCGAAATGGGACAGTAGTCAACCCGGGCCGGGCTCGTTGATGGCAGCTGTCGTCACCCGTGACTCGTGAGAATTTCTTTCGCCTTCTATTTTTCCCCCATCGTCTCCCCACCGGAGCCATCTCCTGTAGCTTCCGGCGCCCCAAAGCTGGTCCGTGGAGCATCGCAACAGTGTAGGGATGGAGAAGCACCGGTACCTTGCGCTGCCTGGCACTGACAGTTGGGACCCGCTGCGATGGCGATGGAATCAGGGCGAACTCGAATGTGGCGTAAATGCGGGCGCTTCGTGCGCTATACTTGGGCGCATCTTGATCAACAAACTTGAAGCAGCCAGTGACAACGTTGGCCGCATGCGTAGTACGATCTATGGACGGGACGACGTCTCAAGCCGCAGGCGCAAGCACCATACATGGGACTCTGCCAGACTGCCAGTATCACCTCTAGCCGCTGGTCTGACGAACTGGGATGCACGACAGCCCGCACGGAACACGTTACGATCAGATTCGCGGGCTGACGGATGGCTCCCACTGCAACGCACGCGTGCCGACTGGCGACGGCGATGGACGGGCAGCACGTATCACTTGCAAGTTGCAACAGGCTTCGTCGTCGAGGCTGATTTCCATCCACCTTTCCTCTCTCTCCTCCCACCGGCACGTATACCCACCCCCCGATGTTCGCCTCCCGCTCCCTCTCCCCGTCCTTCTCCCGCTCGCCGTCCTCCGAGTCCGCCTCTGTCCCAGTGCGCCCAGCGGCTTTCGGGCCTATTGAATCTGTGCTCGACAGCATTCTGGGCGGCGAGGCAACGGGAATACCAGAGACAAAGGTCCTCGACCCAATAACTTCCATAATCACTGGCATTGACACGCAGCTGAGACACACGGGTGCGCGTTATTTCCTGTACCTATCGTAACATTATCTTACACTCTTTTCGTTGAATCAGGACCCCCGACAACGGCGACCCCCCGGTCGACCTCGGCCCCTGGCGCTGCTCCTCCGAAGACCCCGCCGAATGGTATTCCCCAGTCTCCTGCAAGCACCGCGCCGCCCGGCTCAACAAAACGGGGCGCGCTATCCACCTTCGGCCCTGGCGTGCCGCCCAACAGTGTGTTCTCAACCTTTGCTATTCACCAATCATCAACGCTGACTCCTTATTTCATACAGCCTCTGTTGGTTCGCTTGGGCATGCTAGCGCCAGTGGTCTCGGTTCTGAATCCTCACCACGGCCGTCAAGTGGCCCCACAGTCACGGCCATGACCACGGCGACGACCACCGAGCGCATCGCTACGCCTGCACGCCTCAATCTGGCGCTGATAGTCGGGGTGATCGTCGGCATGTTATTGTTTCTCGCGGGAATGGCCATGGCTCTCTACTGGTGGCGCTCGCGACGCCGAAGAGCGCAGGCGACGACGAGCATCCCATATCCTGCGTCCGACTCAGATTTCAATGCTGGCGAGACGCTCACGGCCGGGCTGGGTGTGCGAGATGCCCCATATCCCGGAATACCTAGCTCCTCAACCCAGGAACTCCTCGGCTTTTCCAGCAGCTCTTCGGCCTCTTCAAACGAGAAGGAAAGCGCGTCATCAGCCCCCATGGCGCAACCTACACTCCCGCTCGCTCCCACCGCTCACATCCATTCCTATGGGCTGCGGCCACTGCCTACGCCCGCATCAGCGCCGGATTCGTATTGGGCTCATGGCCGGCCTGGCAGTACTAGTAGTGTACGTGCACCGGGTACTTCAGCACCATCGCGCGGGTCGTTCGAGACCCTGCCGCCGTATAGCCGATAACGAGATATATGCAATCTACGCTGTTTTCTAAACCCCGGCTTTGTTCATCGTTGGTTTGAAAAAAAAAGAAGATGCGTCCCGTGTAGTAATTGTGAACAAGTCCCCATAGTATCTGACACTTGAAATGTGTAGTTGTAGTCAATATAAAGTTGTACCATATTTTTAGTTTTATTTTACCCAAGTTGTCTCTAATCTTTTTTTACAGTATGTCTCCCATATGTCTCCCATATGTCTCCCATACAAGTGTTGCCACCAAAAAGTTATATCCATTTCAAAACATGTATCAATTACTTTTTTTACAGTATGTCCCCTATAGTCATGATTCCTGAGATCTGAGAGTCAGAAGTCCTAGAGCTGCTAGAAGATGATCTTGAGTTTGAGAAATCAAAGCAGCATCTGAACTTTACCTGAAGAAGAAAAAAATCATGTCCCTATGACTAGCAAGGAGAGAAGAGACACAGATTGTAAATGCATTCAATGATATTGATATATTTATAAATGTTAAAGTTGTGCATCCACCAGAGTTTAAACCTAGATTATTTGTTGCATAGAGATTGATTTCAGGTGAAGATTGTGGTGATAATAAGAAGTTGGAATTCTCTTCTATGATACATTAACACCTTTGAGCCTTAAGACAGCCTGGTTAGGTACACTAATGCTGGTCTAGGGGTTTCAAGACTCAAAACATGGATATAGGGTCGGAAAGTTTTTTTTTCCGACCCTCTGGGGACCCCGCCCTCCCCCTCCTGCCATATATAGGAATATATTCTCATGATCAGCATGTGACCACTGATATGATCAAAAGTGGAATAAAAATTGAATCTTTGTGAAACTTTTTATGAAATACATAATTTTACAATGATAAATTTAATACTTCAACACGATAGAATCTTGACTAATAAATATAAATTTGATAAATTAGCTATTGACTACTGTAGTATTTTAATCAATTTGTTACCCCCTTGAAGGTGTGACATGTGCAACAAACCTACAGTTTTGTTGTGCCTTCCCCATTAGGTAATTTGGGCACTGAAGGCACCTGAAATTATGCAAAATTCCCCTTTTAGGAAGGATTTCCGGCCCAAGTTTTGACTAACAGCCATAACTAACAAAAAAAGATTCATCGCCTTGAGCTGTGATGTGTGACCAACAAATTAATGAAAATATCACAGTACTAAGTAGTTTTAAATACTTGGAGTGGACTTCTGCTGGATGAAGACTCCTTGCCGGATAACTGGATAAATGAAAAGGGAGTTTTAGTGGGTATTCTACCCTTGAAGAAAGGTGTTGGCCCTAGTCCCACACTGGTTTTAAAACATGCATAAAGGCATTTCCCCCTGCGCTTACTTCCCGGCATTTCACTGGCTATTCCCAGTGCACCCAGTAGATGTTCTTTGGAATGGTTCTGCAGCTGAAGTTCATAATTCCAAACACTCAAAGAAAAAAAAAAAACCTGAAAAAAAAAATCAGAAAACCATATCTCATCTGGTAGTTTGTGACTCCTCGTATCAAGTTGAATGTGTAAGGGCAACCCTGGAGACTGCGACGAAAGCCTAGCAGGGGAGGATCCAAAGCGTGAATAAAAGCTACGGAAATACACGGAGGGACCGACCTAGCAGGGGAGGATCCAAAGAGAAGAAACTCTAAGGGTCCGCCTGCTAGGGCGCCAACTATATACTGGTCGTCCGTAACTGCCGACGTAGAGAGCAGAAGGCCTGAGCAGCGTCGCAGGCTCTGTCCCAAGGTGATTGTTGGGAGGGTCTTGACGCATCGGTGATTGTGCGGGCGAAGGAGGCCGTGGACGATGGTCGGGGTGGGTTGGAGCGTCCGTGGGGGCGCCCGTCGGATATGCCTCGGATGCGCTCGGTGTCACGGTTCGGGTCGGGCCGTCCGGGCCATAAGGCCGCACGGGCCCGTGTACCGCCGTCCTCCTGTACGCCCCCTCATTCTTCCAACCCCTTCCGTTCACCCCTACGGCCCTACGCAGCGCCCATCCGATCCGCCCTGGGACCTGGCGCCCATCCGATCCATCCCTAATACCGTAGCATATAAAAGTCGTACTTACAAGATGTAGTCGCTAGGCTAATATCGTCTATTCTCCGGGCGAATACCCATCTCTCGTGCTCCTCAGACCCCTTCGAAGTCGGACCCCCGACGCCCGATACGGCCCGAGCCCGACGCTGACAGAATATTAGCCTCCCCCACGAACGCAAGAAACGCGACAAATGTCTACCGAGCACGATAGTACGATGGGCACCCCCGCAAGCCAGGGGGACGAACGTGCCCGATTCATGGCCCTGGGCCATAACGAACAACAGGAGTTCCTGTTCGCCCATCCGTTCCGAACGAGTCAGGAGATGGAGCAACTCAAGGCGGAAAACACCGCCCTGACGAATCGACAAGTGGTCCTCGAGGCCGAGCTGTCCCGAGTAAATGGGGAATACGCAGCTGTACAGCAGGGAGTCATGCAGAGCTACGATCTGCTCCGCCAAGCCAGAGAGGACTTGGCTCATCGGCCCCACGGGGGAAATACACGAGTAACCGTCTCTCCCCTAAGGAGTTCACGGGCGACGCCAGCGAAGTAGACGCCTTCCTGGCCGATTGTTGGTTGGCCTTCGAAGCCAACCCGAATGTTTACAACGACGAGGTGCGAAAGATTTCGTACGCACTCTCCTATATCAAGGGCGGGAACGCGGTCACGTGGAAGGAAAACGTCTCCCAAGCCATGAAGCTCCGTACCGCCGCAGCCTATACTACGTACGAAGGCTTCGATCATCGCGGCCTTCCGCGGGGAAGCTCACGCCGAAATCGCGCAGCAGAAGATGGAAACCTTCGTCCAGACCAAAGACATGGACGCGACTAGTTATTTCACGGTCCTCGACTCTCTCAATAAAGTCGCGCACTACGACGACGTTAACCTTATTCGCGTCGCCAAGAACTGTATGCTCCGGGGCGTTACGAACGCGGTCTACCGAAAGGACACGCTCCCCGACACCTACGAGGCCTGGAAGGCAGAGGCCATCAAGCAAGACGGCGCACTCCGCCGCTACCGCATTTTCGATGAAAGCCACAAGGTTAACCACCCTCGGGCCAAAACGCCCCCGACGGCGCCCGCCCCGCCAAGAGCGGGCTCAGCAACCGCAACCCGTTCAACGGGTGGGCCCGAAACGCAGCGATCAGCGCCACCGGACCGACCGTGGCCGCACCCCGAGGAAACGGGGCAACCACGGTCGCCGGACCCTCGACGGGGCCCGCGCCTATGGAGATCGACCGGGCCCAGGCCCCCGCTACGGCCCGCAGCACTCGCTGCTACAACTGCGGCCAGGAAGGACACATCAGTCGGATGTGCCCGAACCGGGCCGCATCGGCAAAACCAGATCCGGGCTATCTTCTCCGAGTTTGTCAAAGATAACGCGGATAAAGCGGATTTTGGCGATCGTCGCGAGTGAAGCCTACGCCCTCACCGACGTATACCACAAGTGTCTCTAGTTACAACCCGCATAATCGATATTCCGTGTTGCCAATCCAGAGATACGTGGGACCAGACGTAGAAACCAACCCCGAACAACGAACCCCGCAACCCACCGTTTCCGCCCGCAGAAAAAACCCGCATAAAACCATACGAGACACTCCAAGGCCCGCTTGGAAAAGTTGGCCCGCGGCCAGCGCCGAGAGGCTTGTCGCGCAAATTCGAGACCAGCCCGAGAAGGCTCGTGCGAAACTACAACAGTGGATACATCCGGCCCGACGAGCCGAGAACAGGCCCGAACTAGAAGAGTTCATACGAACGGGGTACGCCCCCGACGTAGCCGAAGCTTTGCGACAACTGCAAAATGCTCCCCCCTTTCGGAAAAGTGAGGGCACCACGGCTACGCGGGTAGCCGTCACCCTTCAAGGGGTCAACGACCTCCGCGGGTACTCAGTTGACGCCCTCCTCGACAGTGGCGCCACCTCCGAGTTCATGCACAAACGGTTCGCGGAGGACTCGCAACTGGAACTCGAAGCCCTACCGCACCCAGTCCCAGTGTACAACGCTGACGGGACGATCAACGCCGACGGGGGCGATCACCCACGTTACCCGCTTACGAGTCACCATTCAGGATCACTCCGAACTTCTGACATTCGCCATCACGGACACCGGGAATAGCGACGTGATCATCGGGCATCACTGGCTCAAGAAGCACAATCCCGTGATTGACTGGCGTGAAGGGGCGATCGCCTTCACCCGATGCCCGCCCGAGTGCAAGCGGGCCCGATTGCTGGAACAATGGGACGAAGAGGACAACGAACCCCTGGGCAAAGGGGATCGCCTCTTCGTCACGCGGATCTACGACGAAGGTTCGAACGCGCCCGCCCACATCCGGGCCATGCAGAGCGTGGCCACCAAACTGGCCGCCGCCGCCTCGCTGCCGCGAAGCCCCGAACCACCGAGGAGAGCGTACCCGCGCACTATCTTGAGGAATTCAAAGAGGTTTTCGAAAAACAGGACTTGACAAACTCCCGGAACAGAGGAAGTGGGACCATGCCATTGAACTACACCCAGACGCCGAACCCGTCAAAGGGCGCTGCATTCCCTTATCAGGAGAGGAACAGAAAGAGCTTGACGCATTCATCAAGGAACATTTGGCAACCGGGCGGATTCGGCCCTCGAAATCCCCATACGCATCCCCGTTCTTCTTCGTCAAGAAGAAGGACGGGAAATTACGGCCCGTACAGGACTACCGGAAGCTAAACGAGATCACTATCAAAAACCGATACCCGATACCACTCATATCGGACATCATGCATAAGTTACGTAACGCCCGGTGGTTCACCAAGCTCGATGTACGTTGGGGATACAACAACATCCGCATAAAAGAAGGCGACGAAGAGAAGGCCGCTCGTTACCAATCGGGGCCTATTCGAACCACTCGTGATGTTTTTCGGCCTCACCAACTCCCCGGCCACGTTCCAATCCATGATGAACGAATTGTTTTCCAACCTGATCTCCCAGGGTCGCG